CATCATCATACAATGAAGTACTGTCTGTCATAAATGCTTGGTTCCCACCATTATTCAACCAAAAAACTGGAAATACTGTTCAGCCTTTGGCCACAATCTCATTATGTTGCAACATGGCATCCTAACAGACTGTGCAATGATCCCCATCATTTCAGCAAGAAATTCACTTCATCTCATACTCCCCGTTAGGAATACTGTTACAAATTATCCAGTCAGTAATGACAGTTTTGTCTGACTGACCAAAGCATAACTTAGCAACAAATGTTCTAATAATTCCTTAAATCAAAAGATTCAATTTTTCATGTTGTGACTAGTAACTCATAGGTACAGGAGATGTAAAGCCCTACATTACATTTACTTATCTGGTGTTCATTTAACAATGCTCTGTCAACTGCTAAGGTCATGGTGATTAAGGTCCTATCCCAAGCCATGCCATAGCTCTGGCAGTTACGTCTTCAGCTTCCCACCACAGTGGCCCAGGATCGAATCCAACTTGAGTCATGTAGGATTTGTGGTGGACAAAGTGGCACTGGAAATAACATCACATATAATGGGAGCTGGAATATATCAGCTTTTCCATGGCTTTCTTTTGTAAATTAACACTCACTACTGGGGGTCACACGCAGTTGATAACTCTGCCTTACAATTATAAAGTGAGAAAGTGAGATTCTGAATGCCCACTTGATTTCTGATCATGTGCGCTTGTAAATGCAGTATTGTCTTTACATTACCAACTCCAGTGCACAGTCACTGGATGTCATTGTATGTGATCATTAGGCCCTTTTCATTCAGGTCACAATAAACGCTAAAATATTTTTTAAATTTTTCATGTACACACACACACATTCAAACAGCATTAAATATGGGGGGGGGGGCAAAAAAAAATGTACTCTCTTTTTGATAGTCAATATCTTTGGAACAAAATGACATGTAGTTACAATACTTGCATGGTAGTGTAGTGTATTGTTTTCTCAACAGATGGTGAAGGTCACACGAGTCACGTGAGTGTCGTGCCGTGTGCGCGCTGCGAGCAGAAGACAGCAGCAACAATGGCTTAAAGGTCATTCTTTGAGCAACGCAAGGCTGTAGTGAAGTGGTACTGGAAGTACGAAAACATTACAGAGGTACAACAACAATGGCAGAATGAGTTTGGAACTCAGCCACCAACACGTCGAACAATTGCCCATATTCGGGATAAATTTCAAGCGGATGGTACTCTTCATGATGTGCATGAGCAAAGATCTGGGCTACCCCAGATAGTAACAATTTACCGTAACTGGTCAGGTGTACCTCGATATGCTTCAGTCACCGATTTTCCCTGCCATTCGAGAGCTGTTTGGAGATGAGAGATTTTACCTACAATAAGATGGTGCTCCACCTCACTACCACTGAGATGTCAGGGCGTACTTGGATGACGGATAGGTCGAAGAGGTGCTATTGGGTACCCACCATGGTCTCCGGACCTAACACCTCTTGACTTCTACCTATGGGGAACCTTGAAGGATGAAGTGTATCGACAAAAGCCAGCTACACTGAACGCGCTACGAGAAACCATCGAAGCGTTGTGTGCAGCCATCACACCCGACACACTGACAGCCATAGTTCACTCAGCAGTTCGGCGGCATTGATGCTGTTAGCCACTGATGGTGGTCACTTCGAACACATACAATGACTCACTCTCTCTCCACACAAGAATTGTAGCTACATGTAATTTTGTTCCAAAGATACTGACTATCAAAGAGTGAGTACATTTTTTTGGACCCCTCTGTATTTGAGCTCCTATGTGTAATGGTGTAGCATAAGATTCAGGGTCATGACCCACACAATTAAGCATATGAAAGGGAAATATTGCAGTAGAAACTGACATAACACCTCTGCACTTCCCACAGCTCCAATTTGAGCTTGCTACTCTAGTAAGTTGGCTCAACTGGTAACACTTCTGACTTTTATTTGGATGTTAAAATCTTCGCTGCAACACAACCTCTCCTTACTGCAAGTTTTCATGATTTTATTCGATCCCTCCAGATAAATGTTTCAACAGTACCTTAAATTAAGCTGTGATTGCTTCAATCCATATCTTTCACTAATCACCCTACCATTCAATTGTATGTAGAAAATGCTACTAACAGCATCATTAAATAAATCATAAATAAGCTGAACTTGCTTCTTTCACCAAGTGTTTCAGCATTCATTTTATGAACATCGTGACGATTTTAGAGTGACTACAGATGGGGTTTGGATTGGTACTTTCATTCATTGAATACTTACAAATGTCAGTACAAACTGGGACAATCTCACTGAGTTACACGCCAAATCACCATAACTACAGCACACATGAAGTCTTCTCAGTTTCTTACGTGTTCACCAGTTGCTGCCTGGTGACAGATCCCAACAATGTCCTCTACTTCCATGCTCATGTTCTTACTGGCTGGTGACTGTCTCAGAACCCTCAACTAACTGCCCTGCTTACAGAAAACACTGTTCCTCTGCTGCTGTTCCCAACTATTACCATGCAAACATGCTTGCTTATAAAGCCATTACTATTATTATTATTATTATTATTAGAGGGGGTGGGTTTCCCCATGCACTTAGACCAGTTATTGGTCCATTGTGCGTCCCCCTTTAATTTCTACTGTCGCCATACCCTACCGGTACTGGTGCATCCTATCAGCCCCGTTCAGCCAACGGTCGTCAGTACCTGATATTTCCCCCATCTACCAGAGGCATTGGAAACTACTTGGGCAGGAAATTGTTGCCTAATTTTGTTCAGAGGTCTCCTAGAGATATGAGGATCTTTTACGTGCCGTTAAATCTACAACATGGGATCCACGGTTTAAAGTCCCTCCCGGAGGACTTGTTCTCTGAATTTTTCTGCCCTTAAAAATTCCACGACCTCCGCCGGGTTTGAACCCACGTAACTTGAGTCATGAGGTGGGAACATTACCCCTAGACTACGGAGGCCGCTTAAGCCATTACTAAGTAATGGCTGAGGCCACGCCATAGCTCAAGCGGTTAGTTGCTGGCTTTCCACTGCGGCCCAGGTTCGATCCCAGGTCTGGTCAAGTTGGATTTGTGGTGGACAAAGTGGCGCTTGGGCAGGTATTCTCAGAGTACTTCGGTTTCCCCTGCCAATCTTCATTCCACCAATTGCTCCACAATCACCCTCACCTATCATCTGGGGCTGGTACAATAGGCCAGAAGTGGCCACAGTACAAGGGACTTAGTCCCACCCCACTAGCAATTAAAAAAAAAGTAATGGCTGTTGTATAGCTGCTTCTTTCATGGTCGTTGCCTAGCAAAGTGTCTACATGCCACAATATGTTATTTCATATCACAGAGTAATATTCTTTCTAAGTTGTTTCCTTATCAGCAAGAACTCTCTGAAAGTATAATGGGGATACTGAATGCCAAGCATGGATGGAAGATAGCTTGCACAACAATTTAACTGCAATATTTTATACCATATCCAACAGATCTTGCCTGCGAGGGCAACTTATGCTACTTAAAGGAATTTTAATGCCGCTGAACTTCAGAGAATTAAAGTATTTGCAGAGAAATAGATCATAATTTGGGAAACCCTCCTCCAAAGGCAATAATGAAATGTGTTTGCTTATGTCTGTGTAAAAGCTACAGTAACATTCATACAATACTAAGAAATCTGAAAACAATTACAGTTCTGTGATGGATCAAAGTCTGCATACATACACAGTGTTTAAACACATTGATCTGGCTAATACAATTATTGACTGTTGTTATTATTGTTCACAGGCCTAATTCATCCACAACTATAAAAAGTTTTATTTTCTGGGATGTGACACTGTGCAGCCTGGCAGAAGTTTACCATACTTTGAAGGAATATACTTCCTCCATCTTCAGGGTAAAAGAATAAGCAAACAAGCAACAAAGCAAGCAGCAGCATTTACATCCATATTTCAATCACATTTATTTTTATTAAATCAATATTGAATGAGAACATTTTCTTGCATTTCAGCTTGAATCTGTTTCTTCCACTGGTTAGTGGCTGATCAGATGTTATTTTCTGATACAAGAGATTACACATTTTGAAATTTGAGTAATACAAGCAAGAGACAAGCCTCAAGCAGGCAGCAAGCAAAGCTACTTGTTTCATACCTCTTTCTTGCTTGAGTTACTATTCAACCCTGAAGATGGGGGTAACATGTTCTTTCAAAATGTTGACTGACTTTCAACAGACTACATGGTGTTATATATCCAAAGACACAGCTCTTCACAACCATCACTGCAAGAAATTAAAATAATATATGCAACATAGAGATTTATGCCCCTGAAATGTTACTTTTCAACCCATAACAACATGGCATTGACAGCTGTATACATTTTAATGATTCACTACACATTTTAAGACTCCAAATATTTTTACTCCCTTCTAAAAAGTTCAAGTGGCTGCCAGGCTACTTATGGTAGTGAATGAAGGATTATGATGGGGTAGAATTCAATGGTACAATTTTATGTCAAGTTTCAACAGACATCATCACCTGACGTGATGTTCATATCATGTTACACAAAACTCCATCAACTGGTTAAAAAAATATAACTGGGCAACACACAAACATACAAGGCCTGATCAAAGAAAACTGAAACTGAATTCATATCTCAAGCAAGTCACAGTTTCTAGGGACATGGCAGTGATTAAAGTGGCCCTGATGTTTACTGCATGTGTTGGCATATTTACATTTCATTTCAGTGCTGCAGTTGTTCATGGCTGACATTTAGAGGGTGTTTCCGTCAGGTGTTGATTTCATGATGTCCAAGAATACATAACATACGTAATTTCAATTTTGTGAAAAGATCACAAAGACAAGTTGGAAGAATATATTTGTTAAGCTTTTTCTCCTTTTTATTGTAACACTTCTATTTGTTTTTTTAACTCTATTCATTCTGGCCTGTCTCACTAGTAAACTAAATTATAGAATAATTATACAATAAATATCTACAAACTGAATCACACAGGCAGGTGTCAATAATTATTCCATCATTTTTATTTGTTATTTCAAAATATAAAATAAGAATGTATCCAAAAAATACAAATCATATAGTTAATCGTTTGACTTGTACCCCACACAGAGTTTTCAGCTCTGTAAGTTGAACGCTATGCAAAAAGAGTTATAAGAATTTATGTATTTCTTATCTCTCTCACAAGGCATGTATCCAGTCCACTGCACCCTGTGTAATTTTACTACCTGAACAATAATTGTAAGATGCAACATATACAATTCATTAAGTTCCTCATTATGTAATATCTTAAAAGTAAGAGACAAGATTTCAGAAGCATGAACTATGAAGGTACAAATGCAAACATGGATAGCTAGCTAATAGTTCCTCTTTAGATAACACCCCCCCAATAAAAAAAAAGCACCTGCCATGCCACATGTTTTCATTTCTGCATGTTTACATTGCTAAACCTGTATCTAGCAAGGTCATGGAGTTCCTTCAGATTCTACAAATAAATTTAAATTGATTGCTCACAAACTGCAATAGAAGTTCACACCACAACCGGTCACTCACAGAGAGCATTATTTGCAGCCAGCCAACTGGCTACATCACTCACAAAGATTAGGAAAGAATTATACACTAACGTCGATCTTAAGTATAAAAGTGTGAAATTGTCAGTAACCAAACTGAGAAGCTATGCTATGTAAACTGTTCTAGAATGCAGTGAATACTCAAAACGTATTACTGAGTCTTACAACAACTTTAAAAAATCTGAAAATTTATTTACATGAAAATAATAAATAACTAAACCTTTGCAAACTAATAACACACACACTTTTCATACTCTATGAATTTCATTCACAATCAAAGACATAAAACAATACACTAAAATCTTGACTTGAATTACATACAAGAACACATCGAAACTTTTGGAGATGAGCTCTAGCTGCTGATGTTCCACAAAAACAGGACATTAAAATCAACAGCTAGTACAATGAAATTCAGACAAATCAATCCAACCTAATATAAGCTAGTTTCTATTTCCAAAGACATACCTATAAATTTCATGTTGTTGCCATATTTGTATTTATCAGCATCCAAAATTTGTTTCTTATAAACCTCCTAGACTATGTAATATAAATATAACTTTCATACACTTAGCAGCAATATTGTCATGATTAACCTTTACTGGCCATGCACCACATCATGGTTCAACTTGGTAAGAGACACAATACTGGCAAAACTAAAATATTCCTTTATTTTGAGTAAGCCTGTAGCAGCTATGGCACTGAAATTTCCTAATCTGCTGCTGTACAGACTTCCATTATACTTCCCTGTGTGCACTATTTATAATCACTGACCCCAGGGACGGTCATTTTTAGCTTGAAAGAATCAGGTTCCAGTCATGTCCTCTGCATGTGACAGTTTTGCCACTCACACTCATTCAAGAGACTGTCAGCTTTGAGACAGCAGCATCTAAATGAGTGAAAAAGAATACCACATTTAATAAAAGTGTTCTCATATGTTTGTAGTTTGGAGTGAGAGGCATGGGACTGATATGCTAGACATAATATTGCTTCATGACTGCAAGGTCCTGAATCAATGATACAGACGCTCTCAAGACACTTCATCATCTGGGGGGGGGGTGTTTACAAATTGTGCTGGATTAGCAACAATGCTACTGCTTACATATGCATGTGTCACAGTTAACTGCCATTTATTATAACAAACCTCTAAACTACAGTCCTCTGTCCAAATAATTTAATTCTGAATTATCTGTATATTTGTACTCTTAAGAGTAAACAATGGTTTTCTCTGGAATTTGATTCTTGTTGATTCTTACAAGCTGCAATGTGTTGTTAGTAATTCTGTTGTTTTCTTCATCATCTTCATAAAGTCTGTACATGGTATATCAGTGATAATTAACTGTTTTATTTTTTAAAGTAACTATTTGTTTCAGTCAAATATTAATCATCTTCAGCTGAACATTACAAAAAAAAAAAAAAAGATTAATAAAGTGCTCTGCATTGGAAGTTGGAGCCCTGAGCTGGTCCTGACATTGTGAAGGAGAAAAAAGCCCTCAATCCGTGCCTCTCCTGGAAACCAAACACCAATTCACTGATCATCCAGCCCTTAGCCTTGTCACATTTCATTGTTCAATATTACTTGTTTTAGGTCATACTGAAGTTGTGATTTTTTTTCAGTAAAACCTTTCATTTTAGGCATGTTTCTATCTTACTTTCAAATTGCAAGACCTTCTAAATTCAACCCATGTTAACAGCACTTTATTTTTACTAAAAATCCCTTTACTAATGTCACTACAAAGTCTGATACACTGCTTCTCACTCACCCAATATAAATCTTCGTAGAGAGAGGCTTCATATTGCTGGCAATTAGACATCTCTCTCAACTGCAACTGAAGCTGCACTAATGCAGCATAAACACAAAGTGATTACACCCAGAACAACGTACACTGATGTGATGAGCCAGAAGGCAAAAAGGTACAGCGTTCGGTTGCAATACTTCCCACGTGTTGGGTCATAGTTAGGCTCATATTCTTTGTACACCCAAACTGAACCTATGAAGAAAAAGGAATGCCACATGTAACAAGAAATTTAACTAAGTCATCAGAAAAGGATTGTATTTCACAAAACTCTTCGACTTGGACAAGTGATTCCCTTTCTTACAATGAAGATAGGCACTTAAAAGTGTACAAACCATTTGCTTCATTCAACTAACATCAAGGAAATACATGTTTTTTATCCATACATAGAAGCAGCAAAACTTGGAATGATCCAATCCCATTAAGTCTTCTAAACCATGAATACTTATGAAACAAACCATTATGCACAACAGTTCCTTTCCAATAACCAGTTTCCCCCTAAATCAAGATCCTGAAAGTGACATTATCAAACCTGACAGGAATAAAGGCATTCAATGCATACAGAAAACTCAACATTGGGATATACTGGAGCAAACACAGATACACAGCAACACCATAACTTCACAAGAAATTTCCCAGGTACAGGTTTCAGCAGCTGCTAAAATTTATTCACCTTGTCAATAATGATAACCTAGCCACTCCTGGTCAGTATAGTTTCAACCAATTTAACAGCATTTAAACATGAGGTGCCAAATCCCAGCAGACTGCCTTCTTCAAATTCTGGATACTCTGTAGCTCCATTAGTAAATACTACTTTGTCTAAAATATCTTTCAGGACACATCATACCTTGAGTTGGCAACTCTGTGGGAAAAAAAAACCCACTGTATCTTCAATGACATCTTCAGTATGATCGATCTTATTCCCATCGTGTGTTTAAACTGGAATATAACAACTTCCTAATGATGACATGACAATCTATGTCATCTGACAATGCACCCTCATACATCTTTCAGACACAGAATATTTGGGTTCCTACATCTAGAGAGAAGCACGATCAAACTAAGATGAGGTGGAAATAAAAGAACAATAGATCGGCATAAACTATAGTTCTGAAAACGTTGACAATGAGTACTTATTTGTACAAGGGAATTCCTAATTATGTGGAGAGATTTAAAAACTTACCAGAATACAGTCAAATTATAACATATGGTATTATTTATTACTTGTTTTAATTTAATCAGTGACCCAACATGTTTTGACATTCAAATGTCATCCTCACTGGTTCTCATTTAATAAATACATCAGTAAAACGTTCTAATGGTTATTTTACAAGATTATACAGAGAATTTAAAACTTGCAGCAAGTTTTACCAGTGGATTTATCGAATACCCCTGATAATGACATCTGAATGTCAAAACATGTCAGGTCACTAATTACATTAAACTAATTAATAATATCTTATGCTGTAATCTGACTGCACTCAAATTAAAGCAGTACACAATGCAACATAAATATATAGACTTCTTTTACTTCAATCCCTCTTACCAAACAGCTACATACTTTTGATTTTACATTACTCACACAATAAGAAAAAACAGAAACCATCACAACTCATGAGCAAGAGTATTTGCAACAGAAGTTTTGAGATTTTCATTGGCATGACTGTTCAGAGTGTGGTCTTCTAGGTCAGTGGTTCTCAACCTTTGTCTGACCGTGGCTCCATGAATTCTTTTTTCTATAAGACAAGGGCCCAGTGGTTGAGAAACACTGTTCTAGGTAGTCTAGTCTTGCAGGTTAATACATCTTAGAGGAACATACTGCCTGCACTTCAGAGTTGAAGGTGAAGGGAGCAATATCATCATCTGCCTAGAAGACTATATGACGCCACAACCATAAGGGTTAAACGAAAAAATATTAGGTGATAGTGATGTCTTGGGCACCCTTCAACAAGCAGAACTGATGAACTTGTAGCACAAATGCATGATATAGTGCAATATTACTGGTGGCTGACTATCTGTCATGGCTTCAAAAGTAAGTTTTCTTACGGCTCAAATTGATCCATTTTAAATTAAAATTTTGGAAACAGGTATGTCTAAGCTAAGTTTGTTTCACAATTTGTGACACAAAAACACAAAGAAAATCACTTGCATCTGGCTTTTGGAAACAGATGTGTCTAAGCTAAGTTTGTTTCACAATTTGTGACACAAAAACACAAAGAAAATCACTTGCCTCTGGCTTTTAACTTCCTTCAATGTGCAGATACTGATAAAATTTAAACATAACACAACAGATGATGAAACACCAGTCTATTGTTATGACCCCAAAACTAAGCAGAGCTCGTAACAATGGACATTTCCTTTCAAACCATGAACAACAAAGGACACTAAACCAAATGGATACTGGTTCTTTTCTTCAATCACAACAGTGCTACGTATTCTAAGTAAACTGTGTAAGGTCATACTACTGATTAACATTCTTACATATAGCTGCATGGGGGTCTCTGCTGCATTACCATAAATGGATACAAAAAGTGAAAATCAGTGAAAAATTCATCATGATCACCAGTAGCTCATTCAGCATAGCATGTGGGGCCATTCTTCGCTAAATTCAGCACACCATTCCTACCTACTCATTTTACATGGTTGCCATAACTTTTTTCTGTTCTCCTAAAGTTTGTTTGTGGACTATTTAACAGCACTTCCAATAGCTTGGCTATATAGAGTCAAACAGATGGTTGAAACATGTTGCTCTGGAAAGGACTTGGAAGGACATGGTCATAGCCTACTCAAAGTACTATCCCAGCATTTGCCTTAAGGGAATGAGAAAAGCCATGCAAAACCTCAGTCATGACATCTGATGTCCTGGCCAGTATTCGAACCAAGCACCTCTCAAATACAAGTCAAGGAAATTACTGCTATGTCAACCCATTCTACCCTCCTAATATTTAAAAACCTTGAAATACCAAAACTGTTGATGTCAGAACAACTGAACACAATCCAAAGCAGCAGCCCATTCCAAAAACTTAGTTTCATAGGTTCTTCCAACACTGACAAGAGAATGTAGAACTGTGTATATGCTGTAGGAGCCTACCCCTGTAAGCACATATCTCAGTTTCAAGATTCAGTTCCACCACCTTCTCAGCAGGCCTTGAAAACCTTTCTTTCTTGATGACCTGGTACAAAGCACAAGTACCATAACTCTCCGTTCATTTTTGACACAGAGAAATTACTGTGACTATCTAAGACATTTTAAAAAATGTTCATTTTTAGAATTCCTGAGTAAGAATATACCTCTTAAAAAGTTCTGAAGGCATGAGAGAGGCTGGGTGTCTATCCCTCTCTTACACATCTTCACAATGCAAAACACAATGACTTCAGAATGGATTTATGTTTTACTATCAAACTCAGATAGGATAGTTCATAGTTCATGTCAATATTACTGCCTGAGTGAACAGAATATAAATTTTATAACTTAATCTGTTCTTGTGCTATGTAAAACTCAAGTCTAAATTACCATATTATTATATACAGCATCATATATTACTTAGACAAGCAGTGTGTGTCTCTTACCTATAATAAACCACCCAAGCATAAAACAATTTATGACCGTTTGTGTGGGTGACTGGCGGATTCGTTCTTCTTCCTGCTCCTCTTCACGTTGTCTTACTTTTGCGGAAAGATCAAGCAGTTGCTTTAAAATGCCAAAAATACCTGGAAGAAACTTAATAATTATGATTTAAAAGATTCTAAACACAGTTACAATGCAGGTACTACGAAGGTACTAATGATACATGCTTTTACACTCGACTCATTCAACAAAACTTAGAGACAATGATAGTTATGAGGATGATCATGAATGATGGAATAAGCAGAAACTAAAGGGAAAACAGTTGCTGTGGATTGTGTTCTAGAGAAAGGGTAAAAGATGAAAGACTCAATCATGTCAACTTGGTCCAAAACTCATTCTACACACCTTCAAAACATGAGTCAGCCAAGTTACTGCACAGCTCATACATTTTGTACAATTAATTATAGATAACTGTAAATTAACTATAAGTAACACTTTCAGGTAGTTTGTCAAAATATGTTAAACACCTGTGTAAATCACAGTCCAATCCAACATCAAACTCACTTCAACATTTCCGATACATAATTCAAGAAAATAAATTACAATTTTCCTTGGTAGTTCATCGTGTGTTGAAATAAATGTTCACACAGCAACCTGAAGTTAAATATACTGACATTTTGGTTTATTCTTACAAATTTTCAGTTGCCCAAAGCAAGTAGATACTTTACAGTTGATCTCTAATTCAGTACTAATCTCTATAAAAGTGGGCTATCAACAAATCTTTATAAACTTGAGTATATTTAAAATGTAGCGGCCTCCGTAGTCTAGAGGTAATGTTCCCACCTCATGACTCGTGGTACGCGGGTTCAAACCTGGTGGAGGTCGTGGAATTTTTAAGGCCGGAAAACTTCAGGGAACAAGTCCTCCGGGACGGACTTTAAGCCGTGGGTCCCGTGTCGTAGCTTATGGCACGTAAAAGAACCTCATATCCCCAAAGGAGATTACCGAGCCAAATTCAAGGACGTTTCCCGCCCAACAGTAGTCTCTAACACCTCTGATGGATGGGGGAAGCATTATAGATACCGCCAAGCCAGCAGAGGCCGAACTCGCTAGCTCGGTCGGGATTGATGGTACACACCAATATCGGTAGGGTATAGAGACTGGAAGAATATCATAGAGGGAAGCACAATGGACCAATACTGGTCTAAGTGCATGGGGAAACCCACCCTCTCCAATAACTAACTAACTATATTTAAAATGTTGACAGCAGTAAATCACTCACCTCCAATAAGCAGGTATATTGGAATGTATTCACCCTGTGGACAGTCATATAAGTAGATGGAACCCATGGCAATCATGCAAATAGGAATGACAATCGTCACACCTAGGACAATGCTGCAACCAACTGGAAAAAGAAAACCAAAAACCAGTAACCTGATGTTAGGAATTACACATAATTCTTCATGTAACATTACTATAAGAAATGAACATACTTGTTCCCAAAAGCAAACAGATAACATTTTTTAAAAAGTCAATCATTCCCTTGGATGCTTTGTGTGCCTCACGAACTCGTCCAAACAATGAATCATAAGAAGGTGGAGGTGCTGAAAGAGAAAACACAACATTAACTCCCTAGTAAAATCATTTCAGTATTCCAGTCTTAGTCACTTTTCAACTCATAACAGGCTATAAATTATAAGAGCAATGAGTAAGAGAATTGATCACTGTACTGTAGTAGTTAGAACTCCTACATCATATTAACATTTTCTGGTACAGTTTTCATTATTTCTTAAGATCTTTAAAGATGCTGTCTCAACTATACAGGTTATATAGTTTGAAATGAATGGGAAGATGATACTGAACTGTGACCAGGCAAAATTTGGTAGGATGTAGTCTTGGCCTACTTTAGGTTACTATCCCAACTTTCAAATAAGGGATTGAGGAAAACCGGTATTAACCTTAGCAAGTAGCCGGTAACCCAGACACAATTCAAGCCAGGAACCTATGAATATAAGTACGGCAATTATTACAGTTACTATGTCTAAAGGCCATGCCACAGCTCAAGCAGTTAGTCGCTGGCTTCCATCATGGCGGCCCAGGTTTGATCCCGGGTTTGGTCAAGTGCGATTTGTGGTGGACAAAGTGGCGCTGTGGCGGGATTTTCCCAAGTACTTCGGTTTCCCCTGCCAATCTTAATTCCACCAAATTCTCCATCAACATAATCACCCGGGGCAGGTACAATAGGCCAATCAGTGGCTGCCATGCCGAGTGGACCCAGTTGGACTCCACCCCCAACTAAATGAATTAAAAAAATTAATTACTATGTTTAAACATCATAAGCATATATCATCATCATCTGAGTATAGCAATGTATCAAGGGATAAAAATGTTAATGATTTTTCAGAGAAACCTCCTGCCTCCTCCTGGGTCAAAGTATCAAATATCATGAGAATATATTTGTAGGGGATGTTTCATTCACCTCCAGTTAATCTACTTTACTGGACTTTCATTATATACAGGGTGGGGCACAGAAACTTGCTTCTTGTGAAGATGCATTGTAAAGGGAGGGGAGGTCGTAGAAAAGTGGGGATAGGCTCGGTGAACGCAGAAGTTGCGGAAGTTTCTGTCTAATACCCCTCAGTAGGAAACATGAGGTGGACGAGTGAGCAGCGAGCGTTTGCTGTCGAAGCCTATTTTTCAAACAACCATTCCTACTTGGCGGTGCAGCGTGCATTCCGTACTCACTTCAGAATTAAAGCCCAGAGGTCTGGTTCCCAACTGGAAATTGATTGTTTTGTGGGTAGAGAACTTTAGGACAACCGGGAGTGTGGTGAAAAAATCATCAGGACGACAACGGACCGTTACGATGCCAGAAAATGTGGAGGCAGTTCGACAGTCGATTTTGAGATCTCCAAGATGCTCCGCCCACAAACATGCAGTCACCCTAGACATATCCAATTGTTCAATGCGCCGAATTCTTCACGAACATCTTAATTTCCATCCCTATAAGATGGTTGTTGTACAAGAATTGTCACCATGTGATTTCCAGAATCAAATAACGGCATGCTAAACATTATTGGAAACTTTACCCCCTGACACACTTCTTTTCTTTAGTGATGAGGAACATTTTCACCTATCCGGATATGTCAACAAGCAGACTATGCGCTACTGGAGTGGTAACAAACCAAGAGAGCTCCATGAGAGGCCACTTCATAGTGACAAGGTGACAGTATGGTGTGCGCTGTCGAGAGTTAAGAGTTATACTGGCCCTTATTTTTTTGAAGCCAATCATGCAGTTACTGTCAATTCACAGCGGTATGTGAACATGATTAAAAACTTTTTTGAACCAGCTCTTGAAGAAATGCATCTAGGAAATGTCTGGTTCCAACAGGTTGGTGCCATGGCCCACACAGCCCGAACTTCGATGAGAGTTTTGAGGGCAAAGGTCCCCGGACAGCTCATCTCGCTTCGAGGTGACATCCCGTGGGCAGCGCACTCACCTGATCTAACGCGCTGTGATTTTTTTATGGGGATACCTCAAGGCAGAGATTTTTAAACATCGCCCCAAAACCTCCTTCAGCTGAAGAATGTTATTCGGCATGAAGCAGCCCAAATTCCGGTGCACATGTTGAAATATGCAGAGGGGAACTTCAGAAAACGGTTGCATCAGTGCATAGAGAACAGTGACCACCACCTTTAAGATATTTTGTTTAAACCTAGATGATTTAAAACTTTAAAGTATGTTCTTTCATTAGCTAAACACAAATTTTGTCTATCAGCAATAATTTTTTTTCTATTCGCCTTCAAAAAACGGAAGTTTCTGCACCCCATCCTGTACAATGGCAATAAAGAATCCCACTGTTGCTGCACTTCTGAATGGCAAATATATCAGGCAAAATGTAAGATCTGAGGTTTTCACGGCAGTGACAATGAAGAAAGCAGTCTTCTGGGATGTGGCAGCATGTAGATATGGTGTTAACTGACGTTTCGGAGGAACGTATCGCCTCCATCTTCAGGGTAGAAGGAAAAATAAGAAAATCTGCAAGCGAAGAGACAGTGAGAACCAGTGCAAGCAGACTGGACTGATGTTTGAAAGAAACTCAGCTATGAGAGCAGGGAAGAGGGGAGGGGGGGAGGTTTGTCTCAGCAAGTCATGGAAGCCTCTCATCTGTTCCCTAACCCCCCCAGAACATGACACCAGATCCACAAGGCTACACAGGCCATGACAGACTCACATAGCAACCCCCCAGCTTATGGGTTAATGCCCTCCCATTAACGTTGCCTTTCTCACCCTCCCCCCGACACTGATTTCCCATGTAGACTTGTCCTCTTCCTTCCCTGCTCTCATATAGCTGAGTTTATTTCCGACATTAGTCTGGTTGCACCTGCTCTCACTGTTTCTTCACCTGCGGTTATTTTTCCTTCTACCCTGAAGATGGAGGCGATACGTTCCTCTGAAACGTCAGTTAACACCACATCTACATGGTGCCACATCCCAGAAGACTGCTTTCTTCATATCAGGCAAAAGTTAACTTATAAATGTCAAGTGTATATCATCACACAAATTTTATTGCTACAGATTCTAGAGATTCCACAATATGTTTCAGCCACTACATGACCATCATGGGCAGGTAATTCTCTTCAGCAGACCAGTTTAAAGCGCAGGGACAATTTTACCTTTACCTAGACTTTCTTTTACTGTAGTAATCAATAACACTAGCCACATTTCACAGTGCACTGAAGTGTACTGCCACATTTATATGAATGGAAGATGATTCTGAATGCAAGATGACCCCACACTAGAAAATATTTCTGTGCAGAAAAAGCAATTTTATGAATTTCATAATCTAACTAGAACCATATGAACAAAAATAAATACAAAAAACATGTTATGCCCGACATTCATTTAGTTTCCATTTTCAAGTCATCAGTCGTTAGTTTTTATTCAGCCTTACCAGTCTCATTTTGTTTACAATTACTACTATAACATTTATCATGACTTGAACAGTTAGCGTCTCAGCTGTCACTAGCCACCCGAGATCTCGATGCCAGTCTGTCTAGTCCACCACCATCATCATACAGTTGCGCCCTCCTCAGGCTGGCATGGTCCCAGTCATCTGCATCAGCAATAACTCATACCTTCAGACTGCTTGAATGCCATTCAACTTTCTGAAAGTGAGAGCAGGCCCTGAAGAGTGCATCACTGCTGATGTACTTCTGCCCCTACCAATGTTCAGCCATCCTAACAGGTATCTCTCACCAACGTTGATCCATCATCCTGGCCCTGTACAGAAATGCTGATTTTCATCCACTCTTCCTCTTCCCTACATTGTTTTCCCATAATTCGTGTATGCCATCATAACCTTATAAACTGTCACTCTCGATACATCTAAAAGTGTGGCACTTTTGGTCACAAATGCTCCAGCTAAACGGACATCAAATTCTGTCCTCTTTCAAATTCAGACAAGTCTCCCAATTCCTGATTCTTTCACACAGACTGTTACTCACACAATCACCAATGCACTGCATAAGCACTAGAGGGTGTAAACAAATGGAAGAACATTTAATGTTGCGAACTGAAGCAGTTATCAGAAAATCCTCCATATTCAAGAATGAAAAACGAATGTTCAAATGGAGAGTGAAACTACTACTTCTCGATCCAGTCTCAAAAATTTGAAATTTACACATGCACAGCTAATATACTTATACTACTACCCAAAAGCCACAAAACCTGAAAAGGAGCTAAATTTAGTAAAAGCTATTATTTTGCTTAATTTTTCAAGTTGGCTCAAACTTACAGGTGCAAAATATGGATCTTAAAAGAAATTCCTTGTCAGTATAAAGATAAATATCAAATTTGATACTAAAATGATTAAAGCATCACATATATCCATCCCTATGGGCTAAACAAATCTTATAGTCATTTATGTCAAGATCAATGCAGCAGATACAAAAATCTAAGCAAATTTTATAGTCACTTATATCAAGGCCATTACAACAGATGTAGAAACCGATTTCAAGGCTATCTAAACCAGTATGGATATCTAACAAAGCAGCTTCATGGCTTCCAAAACTGCATGTATTGGGAAACCAATGACAAGAATTTCACAATAAAGCCCCATTCCCACACAAGAATATATAAGTGCAGGCAAATAAAAAAAAAATAAAAAAATTAAAAAAATACTAAAGACTGCCAAAAGAATGATACCAGTGTTAAACTGAATTAATTTCACAATAAATTATGTGCATCCGTGGTTTCTACATCTGGTGTGATGACCTTAACACAGCTTCATAGGATTTGTTTAGGCCTTGCTCATTAATGCATGCTGTGATGCTTTATTTTAATATCTCTATATTATTTATCTCTATATACTGAAAAAGGATTAATATTAAGTGTATATACTTGCAAGACATATTTGACTTGAAATATTAATCAAACAAAATAACAAGTATCAAGTATCATATTTTTGGACATTATCCATTGTCTTATCTATATTTAAAAGACAGTCCTGTTTATTTTTCAAAACATAACGTTTCGGCGACTGGATTCTGTCTCCATCCTCAGGTAATACCTACTCAGTTGGCCCAATAGATAGATCTCCAGTCTGGAGATAGGGACCAGCTCTATCTATTGGGCCCAACTGAGTAGGTTTTACCTGAGGATGGAGACAGAATCCAGTCTCCGAAACGTTGCATTTTGAAAAATAAACAGGATGGTTATTTAAATATAGACAGGACAATGGATAATGTCCAAAAACATGATACTTGTAGCAATGTACCTTTGTCACAAACTTTTAAAGCAAAATAACAACTTTTACTTAATTAAGCCACTCTGTATTGTTTGTGGTTCTTGCTGATGGTCATAAGTGGCCAAAATATGATGTAGACCTGTCTACAGCTATAAAAAAAAAAGAAAAAAGAAACTTGTGTGTAACAGCATGCAGAGATTGTTTACAGGTTTACACAAGGAGGCAACATTATAAAAATGGTTACCTACTTGAATCTTAAAACACACTGAACCTTGAACTTTAAACATGTTTTAATCAGATCAACTTGTGTTCCAGTTAATCCAAATCCAGCTATAATGTTGTTTGTTCTAAGTACTCACTTCCTTTGAATTTAATGTCTCTAAACAGCTGAGGTACAGCCATTGCACAACAGCGTATCCAACAATAAAACAATGAACTCATCATCAGCTATGGTATTTACATGATAAGTTAATGTAATAATTAAGAAATGTAAATTCAAAGGATTTATAAACATATAAAACCACAAAGGGTACAGGGTCCAGTCAGTTAATCATAAGCAAAGACCAATAAAAACTACCATGTGGATCAATAGCTTCATCATAAGATGGAGGTGCTCCTCGGTCTGAAGAGGTGTGAGCAACCACAGTGCCTGGGACACTGTGGTAAGATGGAGGGGGCATGCTGCCTTGTGACTGTGGTTCTGATTGGCATTGCAAAATTGGATCTGAGGCAACTCCCGGACTCTGAAGGACAAAATCCTGCAAACAGATCACAGATAATGTAATTATACAATGCCACTGAAATTTAATAACATCACTGTGATTTATATTTCTATTTCATTTGCAGATATTCATTCCACAGTGTCTAAAGATCTCCGAATTATTATATACTTTTAACCTGCTTAAAGTGTTTCAGCAATATTTCCCAACCTCTGTCACCCTAAGAATCCTGTTTTCCTTTCCTACAAAGGAATGGCTCAAAATGACAAGGCAGATTTTGCTCAGCCTGCCTCTATTCGATCTTGCTGATCTTGCACAATTTCTGTGGATGTAATTCACTTACATGTTAAAGAGATGGAACAATCACTTTATCATATTGTGATATGAGGGCTGAAAGCAAGAATGATGCAGTGAGAAGAAATGGCGATTCCTATGCAATGGAAACCAAAACACATTTTTGCATCAATGAATCAACATGCAACACTGGAGTAACTGTTGTAAACCATGTCTTCTACATGGTTCATGCTGAGGTTATATAACAAGGCCAACTGGAAGAGCACGTTGAGACAACAGTCACGTCTAGGAAGTCATAAATTAGTTGTCAGACAGTAGCCAGCTGGCAATGATGTGAGCACAGAAGTTGTACTGTTAGCAGCCAGTACCAAGCAATGGCTAGCAAAGATACAGTGTGTACTATAATGATCTGTAAACTGTGTAGGTTAGCAACAGTGTTATAATAATATTTATGAGTTGTAAACAATCAATATATACAATTATCAGTCCAAACCCTGTCTCAGGCTACTAACACATGACAATATGATCATAACATTGTCTGTTTTTATAAAGAACAATATTAACTACAACTACATGAAAACAATGTGTTGCTAGTGTATAAAACACATCATGATTTCACAAGTACATTTTCACTGTATTCACATTGAAAACCTTCTGTCTAGAAGACACAACATAGTGTTCAATGGTAAATTTGAAAAGAAAAATGTATATCATGCCCTGACAAATACAAGTTTGGAATGGAGGATATTACACATCAGGGACATCTCATACATGTAACTCACTTAGTCAAGAATGTAGTTTGTATGGGAGAAAAAAAAATGCACACAGAACTCTGGTAGAGATACCATGAAATGATTTAGCTTGGAAGGCTATGCATGTGTGTGTACATTTGTGCATTGCATTATTTTTCTTGAATAATGTACGCTGTGGATTAGAATGACCTGACGACTGTAGATTCAATGTTAGGGTCCTCTATTAATGTCTGCCTAAAATATTTTTAAGGTGGATCTCATATCTTATGCAGGCTGAAGACTAGTAAAACTGAGTAGGGCCATTCAGAACAAAGGGCATTGGAATGCTGACATCCAGTGTAGTGCTCCTCCATGGCAAGGTTTGTCCGCAGACAGCTGCTCACACTTGAGAACTGCTGGAGCATTTCAACTGTGAGTTGTCTGCCCAACCAACCTCTTTACAGTTCTGATCTCACTCTGAGTGACTACCACCTGTTTACCTACCTGAGAGCCGGTTAGGGTCACAGTGCTTCAATAATACTGAGGAACTGATGGAAGGTGTCCAAACATAGCTGAGCTAACAGGCAACAGACTTCTATGACACAGGCATACAAAAACTTATTCCCCAGTATGACATGTGCCTCAATTCTGGTGGTGACCATGTTGAGAAGTATTATTATTATTATTATTATTATTGGAGGAGAGTGGGTTCCCCATGGACCGCGACTAATAGTCTATTGTACGTCCCCCTTTGATCAGTCGCCATACCCTGCTGGTACTGGTGCTCGCTATCAGCCCCGTTCAGCCAGCGAGGCTGGCAGTGGTACGTGAATACTTTCCTATCTACCAGAGGCATTGGAAACTACTTGGGCAGGAAACTTTACCTAATTTTGCTCAGAGGTATCCTAGAGACATGAGGATCTTTTACGTGCCGTAAATCTATGACATGGGACCGACGGCTTAAAGTCCCTCCCAGAGGACTTGTTCCCTGAATTTTTCCACCCTTAAAAATTCCACGGCTTCCGCCGGGTTTGAACCTGCATACCTTGAGTCATGAGGTGCGAACGTTACCCCTAGACTACGGAGGCCGCTATGTTGAGAAGTAGCTTAAGTATGTAGACACTTTTTTATATAAGATAAAATATTTTTTCCCATTGCTTGTTTTGTTAACAGCTCCCCAGAGGTCACTTCCTGAATAGCCCTCACAGTAACTTTCTTATGATAATACATCACATCCACATCACTATCTGACATCACGCAACCTCAGAAATATTCCAGACACAGTACAGCAATGCTGAAACTTCCAATATTAATTCCAGAGAGCAGGGGCATTAGGAGACTTCCTGGAAGGAAGCAGGTCTGAGAGAATCAGACTGTTACTGGACCCAAAACAGATCTTATAGCCTACATACATTAAAAGTAAAATTATCTACCATACAGCAGATTTCTCCAAATGTTAGTAGCATTACTATGTATTACCTCCAAGTAGACACCAACCTTCATAATCACTACTGTGAGAACTTCAAACCTTTCATTCAATTTTTCAATTGAGGGTTTGTTCTGTAGAAGTTCTGCCTTAGTTCCCCATAAATAAAAGTTACATAGGATAATGCTTAGTGAGCATGCTGGCCACAGATTACTATTAATTCTGTCTCCAAACATTTCTCTCTAAGTGGACAATGCTATATGAGCAGTGGCACAGTCTTATTGGATACCAGACTCCTTCATATTGTGGCATATTTGCTGAAAGCCAGGAGAGATAGCCGTTGCTAGGGAACGGCTCTGTAAACACACCCATTGCTAGGTGATTGCTCAGTAGCCATCATGTGATTGCCGTAACAGAATTCCTGTTTGAGGCAGTGTTTTGTGTGTGGTCCATGCCAAGGCTATATAACAAGGGCCAGCTGCCCCTGCGAGTTGTAGGAGGCAACAAGAAGGGAAGTCTCAAATCTGAGACAGTAAAATACGGTCAGGAGTCCCAAGGGACTCGGACACGAGAAAGACTGCGCTGTCAAGGGCCAGCAGCATATACAAAAGACAAATCCATCCTCTCGTCAGAGAGGGTGACCCCAAAAAAACAAGACCGTAACTGTCAAAGAGCAATAAATATCTGGTCATGAGCCTCAGATGGGGCTCGACACAAAAACTTACTGACTGACCATCAGTCGCAATGTGACTTTGACTCAAAGTGGAGTCCAAATCAAGAGCCTTGAGACAGCAATTCGAAGAGTATGAGGCTGGTGAGATGGCAGCCAGCCTGTGAGGATGTGAGCCTGGGAGCAGAGGATCGTCCACTGTTGGAAAATGTTACCAAGCAGCACAGTGAAGACCATGAATGAGAACACTAGCCTGTGTGTGATAGCGATCTGTGAAGTGTAGACATGAATCATGTATAAAGTGTCCACTAAATGTGATTAGTGATTACCAATCCAAACCCTGTCTACAGTCACACTCAAATGCAAGCCAATATGTTAGGCGGTCAAAAAATAAGGGGAATATCTATTCCGTGTACCTTTCACAGTTGACTGTGTCCTCAAATAAAATGGATCCGTTTATTCTATATGTACTCACACCACACCCCAGCACCAATTTTAGAATTATGTAGTCAGAAGTCATGTAGCTGCTGTCCTGCACTTTTAACTACAAGGGTTGTACTGAAAGTCATGAGCAACAATTTTTTGTAAAGTAACATGCTTTAATATTGACAAACCAAATACACTGCCTCAATCTACAGACCTTTCTTTATTTTTCCACATAATCGCCACTTCCTTGTACACATCTCTCCCAGCATTCTGGGAGTTTGAAAATTCCCCTTCTGAAAAATTCCGTTCCAGCCATCCGAAGACACTGACGCACTGCTTTCTGAATTGCCTCCCTTGTCTCAAAACATTGTCCACGCAGCTGATCCTTCACAAATCCGAAATGATGGTAGTCGGAGGGTGCCAGATCAGTGCTATAGGAGGGGTGTGGAAGAACAATGCACGACAGAGCTTGTGCAGCATCTGGACGTAACGAGCAACATTGATGGTTTGCCCAGGTTCCAGGAATTCGGCCAGAATAAACCCTTCTGCATCCCAGAAGACTGTGCCCATCACCTTTGCAGCTGATGGCACTGTCGTTGCCTTCTCTTTTGATGGAGAATGCAAATGGTGCCATTCCATACTCTGTTGTTTCATTTCAGGCTTGAAATGGTGAAACCAGCTTTTGTCACCTGTCACAATACAGAGCAAAAAATCATCACCTTCGTGTCAATATCTCTGCAGCAGTTCTGAGGTGATGGCTTTTCGCTGACCTTTGTGGTCTTCGGTCAATAACCGCGGGACCCAACGAGCACAAACTATCCTACAGCCCAAGCTTTCAATCATCTCCTGTACTGTACTGTGCCCTATTCCAAGTTTTTTGGCTATTATGTCCACAGTCACATGTCTGTCATCTTGAATGATCTCATCCACTCTTTCCTTGTTGCGTTCAGTTGAGACTGTTCGAGGACAACAGTTCCGAGGCTCATCGTCAATGCTGGTATTCCCATCTTAAAATGTTTCACCCATCTTCGAACACTGCTCGCACCCATGCACACACTTCCATAAGCATGCTGAAGTCTCTGGTGAATTTCTGCAGCAGGGATATCCTCTTTCACAAGAAATTTGATAACAGCACGCTGGCAAAACGACACATCGTTGTCGGCCATTTTGTTAGGAGTGATACTGGTCACGTGATGCAAGCTATTGATGTCACAAGACACTCTAGGTTAACACAACAGCTGGTTCCACCTACCACCGTACTCTCTTTCATCTGCTGTTCCTAGGTTGCATGCAAAAAAAGTTGCTCATGACTTCCAGTACGACCTACGTAGATATGTAAGAAACCAAGCCTAATCAGAAAAGAAAATCAGATGAGGGTGAATATCACCATCATGGAGGATTCAATTACAAAAATTCAATGTTTACAGGCCATGAGGTTGCAACTGATGCACCACTGTTTCAATTTTGTGAGTTTTGTGGCTGTTTGTGCAGATGATTTTGGTATCGTGTGCATGGCATCTGAGAGATTTCTGATGAGATTATTCAATATTTATCCAACATCCTTTAACAACCACACAGTAGCATGAAACTATAGAGCATAAATGGTAGGATGGTTGGTGAATTAGAAAGGAAGTGGTCATGCTCTAACTAAGGTATTAATCCAGCATGTGCCTGGATGGACTGTATAAATCACAAAGAAACTCCTGTCAGGCTAGCCAGTATGCACCTCCAGAACATATGTTAAGAGCACTACTTCTACATCAACCTGCTCAGCAGTTTCAATTATGAAGGAACTCTTATGTACATATTATTATTACTTTATAGCACATGAATGGAGGAAAAGAGGAATACAAATAAGATATTGGTGGGAAAGCTAGAAGGAAAGAGACCACTAGGAAAACCTTGACATAGGTGGGTGGATAACATTAAAATGGATCTTAAAAGAGATACAATAGGGTGGTATGGACTGATAGATCTGGCTCAGGATAGGAACGAGTGGAGGGCTCTTGTGAACACAGTAATGAACCTTCAGGTTCCATAACTTGCTAAGAAGTTCTTGAGTAGCTATACAATTGCTGGCTTCTCAAGAAGGACCCAGATCCATGAAATTAGTTCATCCATTATCATAAACCATTAAGAGAAATGACTAATAAGGTAACTGACTAAATCATGCTCATTTTATGTACCTTCCAATATTTACATCTATTTCTTTGTATGTCAATTAATAATCAATTTTCTTTTTTGCAACTGTAATGAAATGAAGTTGACAGCTTGTTTGTGACTTCCCCATTATTTATACTTGTCAGTAACTGAATTTTACATGGGGTTCTAGATCTTGGCCATTTTCAATCCTAACCAAGACGCCGGAGCTCAGGGACTTTAGCAAACATTTTTTCATTCCACTTCGACTGTGTCACCACATGTTCATCATGTTAGGTTACACAAATCATTCACCTATGCACAGAGAGGAGAAACTTTGGCAGCAGTAGTGGTGGTATTCTGCTGACCCAGGACCAATATTCTTTCACAATATAAGTATTTATAATCACATAAAATAACGTACTGAGATATAGGTAACCATAACTTGTTTCTCGCCCTGTAATTGGATCTACTTGAATATAAGAATAAATTAAATTAAATTAAACATACGTCACGATAACCTGACCTAATCCAATCTAATCTCACCTAACCTAACCTAATTAAACCATATAAAGGGGATGGGTGGGATTAAACACCACTCTGGAATGTCGACTGTTGTGGAATCGAGCTGCAATATATACATTAACCGGTAATGATCTCCTAATTATTAAAAACAATTCTTTCAAAAGTAATGTGAAATGAAAAGGTGCTATTTTCATCGCCAAAGAACAGAATATAATGAAGTACTGTACCAACCCGCATTTTATTACCACACTTTGTCTTGTCTATATGCCAACTGAACTTATTTCCTCTGCCACTGTTTACTACAAGCCACAGTATAAATATCATAGACATATACTTTGTTTACACTAACATAACTACGTACATAACCAAACCAAGAGACCGCATGTATGACACCTGTTTTGTTAGGGTCTCTGTAATTGGTTCAGACAAAAATGATAGGTATATTATGATTGGTACAGACGAACTATCAGCGTGAACGCTGTTCATAGATGGCAATAACCATACAAGCAGATTGCGCTTGTGTATGCTTCTCTTTAATCTAACTCAGTTGCCTGGTGGGGTACGCGAACGCCTCAAGCTAGTTTTATGCGAAGTTTTCAAAGCAGAGGGCATACCAAAGAAATTGGCAACCGCAACGCAACCTCAATTTCTAAGAATTGTTATCAGCCTGCGTTCAACACATTTTACAGAATGGAGCATGACCCTTATTACCTAACTCATTTATGTCGTTATTACTACATGAAGTTATATTTATATATCACCAATTATATCCAGATCACAAGGACATGAATAATTTATAATTACACACCTGTTGATTGTTCACATTTTCATGTGACCATTCTTTCGCTGTCATATTTTCATATTGTTCATGAAAATCATACATCTTGTCACTATAAGTGATAGATGGGCGGGCATTTTATACATACATGTATGTCTCTTCTCCAAAGGAATGGAATAGTAAGGCAACGCATGTTGTTATCCACTATTAACAGATTTCTTCATGCCTCCTATGTAGCAGCTAGGTGCTTGTAGATCTTATTTCCGAACTTGGTACTTTTCATTATAATTCTGCTTAGATTTCTTCAATGGTATGATCTCAAATGAAGTGTTTAAGAATTCAATGAAGATTATAAATATTTGGAGATATGCCTATGCACAGACCAAATGAAAAATAACTTAAACAAGCTGACCACAAAATACCCCACCAATTCACAACTATTTTAAAAAGTCACTAATACATACTTTGATTATACATGGTAAGGTAAGGCTGTCCCAATGCCTGCATAACTAAGTACCATGCCATGAAAACGTAGGGGGCTGGAGATATAGCTCTACCATTCTTGACCTTTGCACTAGAGAGTGGTGAATGGTCAGCTTCAAGCCCTTACCACTCTATCCCCACATAGAAAGCGCCCTCAGTGTCCTATCCAGTGATAAAAGGCTGAGTGGGACCCAGAGCAGGTCTGGACTCTTACCACCATCCGTGAGCCAGTTGTCTAGAGAAAATGTGGTAGTCTCAACATCTCACAACCCTATGGGCCTTCATGACCCATAGCAAGGGATAACTTGGCCTTTTTACCAAAATCAGAATGACTTGACAAAATTTAGTGTTAGTTTCATCAGCATCAATCGCATCACTTGACATGCACATAAAATTTTTTAAAAATTTTACACATTAAATCTTAACAGCCAATAAAAATGAGTTTAAGAAGTAAACTTTTCAGACATACAGCCTTCATGGACTATACAATATTATGCTACAGTGTAACAATTTATGTGAATCTTCACAGATACTTGGCAATCGCCCTGTGGCCAAAAGATGTTAAATTTACCAGAGAGCATGGACTAACTGGCAATTCAAGCATTGACCTGTAAAGCTGCATTAAAGATTGTATTGTGTGTGCATCAAGTGGTTTATCTGGTGCAGCAGAATGCTCAAATACAATATTATCAGTCCTATATCTGTTTGCAAAGAGATGGAACTGGCACATTTTCAAACATGCTCTTCCATGCAAATAGTATCATTTCCTAATAATAATCAGTGATTACAAATAAAATTGCCATCAAAATCCAGTAGTTATATCAGGGAAATGCAGGACTGTGAGCAGGATGGACAGAATTAAATTCCTGGCACAGGCAATGAACTTCCTATCATCCATGATTTGTTTATTCCGTCTTGCAGTGCATACACTTGTGGGGTTTTTTTCTTAACGTGTGTGTAGTCTTTGTCATTACTCCTATGACAACCCACTTCTTCGGAACAATTTGTTGGCCCTGAAAAGGACCGTGGTTGCTGAGATGATTGACCGGTGAGGTAGCGCGGCGCGCGCCGGTAAGGAGAAAGGCTTGCTGCAGTGAA